GTGCCACTTCCAGCTCGGTCAGGCCCTGCAGGGCCCAGTGCGTCGTCTACCACGAGTTCCAGCTCACGCTGGCCCGCAGGGCGGCTGACAAGGCGCTGGAGGGGCAGCTCCTGGAGACCATCAGCCGGCTCTACCTGTCCCTGGGCACCGAGCGGTGAGGCTCCGCGGGCACCCGGGCGGCCGGGACCAGAGGCTGTGCCAGCCCCCCTGGGGGCCCTCCCGGGGCCCCTCCTTCCTTAGCGCCTGGGGGAGGACTCGCCAGCCCCCAGGGGGGCCCTCCCGGGGACACTCCTTCCTTAGCACCTGGGGGAGGACTCGCCAGCCCCCAGGGGGGCCCTCCCGGGGACACTCCTTCCTTAGCGCCTTCCTTAACGCCTGGGGGAGGACTCGCCAGCTGCCCGGGTGTCGCTCTGACCGTTGCTTCTGCTTCCAGGGCCTACCGATCGGCGCTGGACTACACCAAGCGCAGCCTGGGCATCTTCATCGACCTCCAGGAGAAGGAGAAGGAGGCGCACGCCTGGCTGCAGGCGGGAAAGATCTACTACCTGCTCCAGCAGAACGAGCTGGTGGACCTGTACATCCAGGTGGGCAGGGCGGGCACCTGTGCCTCCAGGTGGGCGGGGCGGGCACCTGTGCCTCCAGGTGGGCAGGGCCAATCACCTGTGCCTCCAGAGGGGAGCGTGGATCTTCGCGCACTCACTCACTCATCCCTAAGCCACTCTGAGCTGCGTGCCAGGTGCCCGTGCCATCTCCCCACACCCCTGACCCCCGCTGCCAGCATCTCCCAGCATCTCAGCTCCCAGGGGCAGAGCCCCCACCATGTTGGCACACAGTACGTGCTGAGTCACGTGCACACTGTGCCCACGCAGCGGCACACAGGAGACCTTGCCCCAGCAGGACAGGGCAAGTGTGCTTTAAACAGGATGCGATTGAGGGCGAACCGGCTCCCTGGCCAGGGGCCGAGGCTCCCAGATGAGGGGCTGTGGCTGAGGGGCTGTGGCAGGGTGGGGGTGCAGAGGAGCGAGGGGGCAGGCTCCTGCCCACCTGGGTCACTGAGGCTGTGTGAGTGGCAGCGAGGGGGGCAGTGCCCACCGGGAGGGGCGTCCAGGCAGCAGGACGCAGGCGCCAAGGCCCAGAGGTGCACAGATTTCGGGGCTGTGAGCAATTGGGTGTGGCCGGGCTGCAGACAGGGGCTAGTCCATCATTCACTCAGCGGTATTTGTTGAGCACCTACTATGCGCCAGGTACCGTGCCAGGCCCCAGACGCAGCAGAGAAGCCGACAGCCTTAGTCCTCTGGTGGGAGAGGTGGGCAGACGTGTGCCATCAGGGGAGCGAAGGGGACAGAGGGAAAGTGGTGGGGTGAAGGGGCAGGAGTGAGAGCCCCGTGAGGCCAGAGGGGAGGACGCATGGGCCAGGCGTGGCCTGGATTCAGGGCCGCTCTGACTGTGCCCAGCTCCTCAGCAGTCCCTACCTGTGGCTCCGAGCCTTCACTGACCAGCCTCCCCAGGGGACACGGCTGGAATGATCATCCTCCCGCAGTGGGAGACAAGGACCCCAAAATGCACAGGACCCGTCCCTCCTGGGGTGTGAGAGGGACGAGGCCCAATGCACTCGATGGGCAGCTCGAGGGCCCCAGGGTGGCCGGGACGTGCTGTGAGGTCCCCGCTGGGGGGACGGCCACCTGCCCCGCTGGAGCCCCGTGGGTCTCACAGGCCCGCCCCCGCAGGTGGCCCAGAACGCGGCCCTGTACACGGGGGACCCCAACCTGGGGCTGGAGCTGTTTGAGGCGGCCGGAGACATCTTCTTCAACGGGGCCTGGGAGCGGGAGAAAGCTGTTTTCTTCTACAGGGTGAGGCCCGGGCAGGGCGGGGGGCCTCCGTGGGCGTCCCTGGGCGGGCGGAGGCGCAGGCACAGCGGGAGCGGCCTCCCAGGAGGCGGGGTCACCCTCTGCATGGTCTGGGATTGTCATGACCCACCCCCACCCCAACCCAGAGGGACAGAGAAGGGACGCGCTGTCCGAGGGTCGCAGGCAGCTCCCAGCTCGCAGCACGCATCCCTGTCATCACCAACAACCCAGAGTGCACCTGTGCCCATTTTACAGATGAGGAAACTGAGGTTCAGGGGTGTGCCACAGGACACGGCATACCAGTGGGAGGATCGGGCCCAGGGCCCAGGCTTCTCCCCTCCCGTCTGCCCAGCTCCCAGTGTGCGGCCCAGCCATGGGTTCAGATGGACGTGGCATTTGCAGAGCCCAGGGGGGTGTTTGGGCTCCTGGTCAGGCCCTCGGGGCCCAGGAGGGGAGGGGAGGGCTGAGGTTATGCCGTGTAGACAGATGGGCTGCAGTCCACACCCCAGCTGCTCACGGCCAGTGGCCTGGGGTGTCAGGGCCTCTGGGAGCTGGCCTTTCTCTCGGGGGACAGAGCTGTGTAAGGACCCAGGGGCAGTGGGCGGACAGCTCCCAGGGCGGGGGCGGGGGCACTGCGAAGGGTCCTGGGTGTGGGCAGGCCGAGGCAGGAGGAGGCCTGACCCACTTACCTGCTCGGGCAGGACCGGGCGCTGCCCCTGGCCGTGACCACAGGGAAGCAGGAGGCGGAGCTGCGGCTGTGCAACAAGCTGGCGGCGCTGCTCACGGAACTGGACCTGCAGCAGGAAGGCCTGGAGTTTGCCCACATGGCCCTGGCACTCAGCATCACCCTGGGTGAGCCCCGCACCCCTGGCCCGGGCCTCCACCCCGGACATCGGGAGGGCGGGGCTGAGGGTGGCAGAGGCCGACCCAGGCCCGTGTGGGGCCTCAGGAGTGTCGCGCTGCGGCTGTGGCCTCCTGCCTCAGTCCCTCACCACCCGCGGGGCCAGCTATCCCAGATGCTCTGGCTTCTCACCGGTCCCTGGCGGTGCCCGCTGCAGGCCGCCCCTTCCCTGCACTCGGCTAGCCCCACTGTCATGGAACCTCAGGCCCCTTTCCAGGCTCTGGTCCCTCGGTGCCGGGCATCCCTGTGTCTGGTCATCTAACTGAGCTGTCCCAGGCCTCGGTCTCCCCCAAGATGGAAGCCCCGAGTGGGCCAGGTGCACAGTGGGTGTGAAATGGGGTTCCCATGCTGGCCCCACAGCGCCCTCTGGGGGAGGGACCCGGGCACAACCTGGTCTGATGACACCCTTGGGATGGGACGAGGCCACTGCTGATACCCAGGAGGGTCAGCGGTCATGTCTGAGGTTGCCCGGAGTCCGGGGTCTGCGAGTGCAGCCTGCATGACCTTTGGGGTCTCCTAGTCAAAATAGCAACCCAGGCACCCCAGGTGGCTATGTCAGGCTCGGAGGGGGGCCTCCAAATCCCCCACTTGGCCACATCCCCAAGGCGGGCTGGGAACAGGCGCCATTGGGCCCACTTCACAGATGGGAAGAGTGAGCCTCCAGATGGGAGGTGACTGGCGGGAGCTCTGAAGCGGCTCTGACCGGCCTAGGCCGCCGCCGCCCCACGCAGCCTGTCCTCACGCACGGCCCTCCCTGTGTCCCCCAGGCGACCGTCTGAATGAGCGTGTGGCCTACCACCGGCTGGCCGCCCTGCACCAGCGGCTGGGCCACGGCGAGCTGGCCGAGCACTTCTACCTCAAGGCGCTCTCGCTCTGCAGCTCGCCGCTCGAGTTCGACGAGGAGACGCTGTACTACGTGAAGGTGTACCTGGTGCTGGGCGACATCATCTTCTATGACCTGAAGGTGGGCGCCAGGTGGGGCTCGGGGTGGGGGCCATCGCCCGCCCGGTGGGTGGCCACTCAGACTCCCGAGGCCTGGGCCAGGTCCTCAGTCCCAGGGAGTCCAGGCCCTGGGAGCTCCCGGCCCGGCCGTGAGGAGCAGGTGGGGCTCAGCAGACGCCTCAGCCGTGAGGTCAGCCACGCCCTTCAGAGCTCAGGGTCAGACGTGTGAACAGATGACAGCGGCCTTTGTGTAAAGGACCAAATGGAGTACAGTCAGGGGGGCCTCCTGGAGGAGGTGACTGTGAGGCTGAGTCTAGATAGTCAAGCAGGAGCTCAGGATGGACACAGAAATGTGGGAGGGGAAAAGGGTCTTTGGGGAGAGAAGGAGGGGCTCACTGCTACCCCATGATGCAAGATGCAACCCAAATCCTGGCCCCTCTTCCGGGAAGCCTGCCAGCCTGTGCAGAGCTCCCCCTGGTCTCCGGGGACCCTTGAGCCCTCACGTCCCTGCAAATGTCCCATCTCCCGGCCAGGACCCCTTCGACGCGGCCGGGTACTACCAGCTGGCGCTGGCGGCGGCCGTGGACCTGGGCAACAAAAAGGCCCAGATGAAGATCTACACGCGCCTGGCCACCATCTACCACAACTTCCTGCTGGACCGCGAGAAGTCCCTCTTCTTCTACCAGAAGGCCCGCACCTTCGCCTCCGAGCTCAACCTCCGCAGGGTCAGCCTGGCCCCGCCGCGGTGCTGGGGGCGCGCGCCCTGGCTGGCCTCC